AAAGCAGAAAATTAAACTTCAACCGCCCTTGGCTTGCCAGTTGATGCCTTTCATCATCATCCAAACTGTGGATTCATGGCAGCACCACTGCTGAAGGAGATAAAATGGTAGAAGGTAGAGGCTCAGGGACTTGACGGTCCCACCAGAGACCAAGCCTAAAACACCTGAAAGTTAGTGCAGCACAAGGATCCTGGTTCTTCCTTCACCACCTGAGGCGGGAGTGACCAGAACCTTTAAGCTTCTCCTAAAGAATACATATCTGGATGGCCACACCTGGGGACACTCTTTCACCAAGCTATTCAGGGTGCTCAGGTGACAGTTCAGCTCAGAGGATAGCAGGGAGAACCCCTGTAACTCCCTGAACGTCCAAAGCACCAGCCAGCCAGCACAGCCTTCTTATACAGACTATGGTTCAATTTCCAGGGTGGCTGAAAATAACACAGTGCTTTTACGTCAGGTTCAAAATGCCTGCCGCATCTCACTGGTGTCTACGTTTCTAAAGCGTGAATGTGGAAAAGGCGTGCACTTCTATGAATATCATGTTCTCCATCCAGAAAAAGAAAACAGGATGAATAATAATTCCCACAGGGTGAGTGTGAATCAAGTGTGGTCCAGTATGGGACCATTGTAGACATACAAAGCATACGTGACAGACATTTCACAAACTCCCTACAACAGTGAGGTAACAGGAGCGTTGACAAGTCCTTGGGACGATGTCACAGCTACACTTCTCATTCTGTCTATAATAACGTTGTCACCTTTGCCAATGGAATCAGCCACTGCACTCTGAAACAGGGATATTCTTTCCTGGAAAATTCTGGCCGCCACTAACCAGCTCTTGCTTTTGCAGAAACTGTGGTAGGGCCCCGAGCAAGCTGGGTTTGAGGAGATTGACCACGGCTGCTTTGTCTCCTAGAGAGAGAAGATGTTCCTACAGGGTGGTCTGGCCTCTTTAAGAGGGAAGAAAAAAAAAACCAGCAACACAAACCAACCAAAAATGCCAGGAATGTAAGCTCTGCCAACCAAGTAAATAAATAAAATGTAAAATGCTTTATAATAACTGGACAAGATACATTTCTCAATCCAGCAAGATGGAAAAAAAAAAAACTAGACCAATCCCCCAACTCTGCAAATGTTCCCACTGTCCTTGGACTTGGTAGATTTCCTACTCTGAGGTATCAATGACAGGTTCTATCACCCAAAGGAGTATACCAGCTTCTAGATCTTGCAGAGTGGACTGTCAGGCCCCAAGCACTCTGCAAGGGAACTGTAAACCAGATTTGTTATATAGAACTCAGAATAAAGCCCTACTGGTATGAAATTTCAGGCCAGGTCTTTTTCTCTCTTGTTCTTTCCTTCCCAAGTGGTAGATTTGGGGGACATATATAAACCAGCCATTAGACTTCATACCAAAACTTCCAAGGTCTGCTGAACGTTCTACACTGCCCAGGGCTTCTACTGACTTGTTTCTTCATTAACTGTTCTACAGACTCCATTACCCGGTCTGCCACTGAATCAAGAGCTTCTACATATTCCGTTTTCATCTTTATCCAAGGATTATTATACTCGGTTCACACATGCAGGAGCTGGAGCACAGGGAGATTAAGTAGTCTGCCCAAAGTCACACAGCCACTAACTAGAAATTCACACCCAGACAAGCTGGCTCCACAGACTCTGTCTAAACCACTGGACTATTTAGTCACTAACAGATTGTGGTAACAGGGATCTAGAAACACAGTCATAAGCAAAGCTGGCGGCCGGCAGCCCTCCCCTCTTCCTTCTTGCCTGTAGAGGCACAAAGACCATCTAAACTAAGGAAGGACAAAGCTTCTTCCTATCTCTAAGGACAATCATGGTCCCCAGGGGATGAATATCCTCTATCAAAGTAAGATGGAAGTTGGGGCTAGTCCTTATAGTCTTACAAATGAACAAAAAGCCAGGTTGAAAACTGCTGTTCCTCTATAGCCAGGGTCTTCACCTCACCTTAAAGGTGAAGTGGGATGGGCAGGAGAGTAATAAAGAAGTGGCATTTGCTCACATGCCCTGCCTTCGTAGCCTCAGCCCCTACTCAGAAGCCTCCACACCAGGAAGGAAACAGGAACAAATCAAGGCTGCATTTGGGTTTAAATCTACAGAAGACCCGAGAGAAGTGTGCAGTGAGACAATATGCCCTGCCTTATACTTGTGAAGGAAACTGAATGCCCATGTCATTTTAGAGTATGTATTAATTTGATGCTTGATGTTGTCAAAATGTAGACCTCAAAATAAAACCAAAGTGAATAAAGGATCCTGGTCAAGTCCTAACCACAGAGAGGCTAACAAATGTTCCCGGTGTCCTGTCTCCAATATGGACCCTCAGACTTCTTCTCACTTCACTTCTTTGATTCTAGGAATCTGGGGAGGGGACAGAAAGGAAGTTCTGGTTTAACATCTCTGAGGTAACATCATACCCAACACTAGTTGTCTCCACTCTTGAGAAATGAAGCAATACAAAGAAAAACCATTATGATAAATACTAAAGTCCCAGTCATGGATAAGAACCCATGCTGTGAATAATCAAACTTTGACACAAGTGTCCTGTATAATCTGATGGGCCAGGTAAAGTTCTACTTAACATCTACTTAATATCATTTTTTTCTGTTAGCAAAAGATAACAGTCCTGGCTAGGGCTTCTTCCATCTTTGCACCTAAAAATTTAAGTCTCCACTGAAGTTTCTCCGCTGAGCCTCCAAAGGTAACTTACAGCATTGCTCACTGTATGTAATTGACAAGTTAGAAAGGCATTCATCTTTCTTCTGCCTCTGGCTCCATGCAGAATTCTGCCTAAGTGACTTAACTTTTCCGTGCCTCTAGCATCTCATCTGAGGTATGGGCATAATATTTACATAAATGCAACTACAGTCCAGAAAAATGCTTTAAAAAGTTATAATAATCAACAAATCATTGCTCTTTATTTTGTCTAAGAAAGTACTAGTAAATATATATATATACATATATGTATATATATATATATATATATATATGCACACACACATATATATATAATATTTTATATATATTATCAAAGTGAATGGCAGAAGACTCTTAATTTCTTGGACCTAATGAAATCTGGTTGCTTTGTTGCACTGAAGGACAGTGGCTCAGAAATTTTTTTTTTTAATTTTGAGAAATGATTTCACTATATTGCTCAAACTGGTCTTGATTACACTAGGTAGCCCCCAGGTTCACTCCCAACTTGCATCCCTTGAACACCATTTTTTGATAAAAAAAAAAAAAGCCACTGTAAAGGTGCTTCATATGATGAAGAAGAACTGCAGCATTAGGGCTGCCTAGCTCTAGTTTCCTGGTGGCGCCGCTCAATGAAGTTACTCACCCACAGTTTATGTTCTATCAATAACTGAAGCAATAGAATCAAATGCTTTGAAATCTCATAGATTTAATATTAAATTACCAAAACACATGCTTCAGCTGTTTGCTATGATCTAAAACACGTGCAGTCAGGAGCTCGCATTCACTGCCAGCAGGAAAGGTCCACTGTAGGTATGCGAACTGACATGATACACATGATGTTTCCCAGACGCCCAAATCTGTCTCTTCCCCATAAACACACATAGCACATATAAACAAGCCATTCTTAGGGAAAGGGCCTATTAGTTGAGTTTATATCTTCTCTGTGAACTATTCATTCACTTCTGCTATATATGGTTTCAATCAATTGTAACACGGAGAACTCCTGGTTCCCTTAAACACCCCAAAACAACCTTTGTAGCACCATTTCTATCTGTAGCTCTGAGTGCCTGAGAAGTCTCCACAGCTCCAGGAGAGACCCCCAGCTTAGCTTGGCCTTGACTGTCATCATACTGTGACAAGCCCAGTTTTTGTACAGAGTAATCCGGCACTGAATGTCAGGAGAGTCTCCGGAAGGGATGGGACTCAAATGTCTTTATTAATATTTTGAAGCACATCAGAATGTCAAAACCTCGTTGAAAGTATAAAGAACAGGTTAAATATGCAGTTCTTTACCGCAGAGGCAAAGATCGGGGACAGTAGTTAAACTTATGGATAATCTGTCCCGATAGAGATATGTGTTTTGACAGCTGATAGTTTTCCAAAATGTATCACCTTCTCCCTGTACCTTTCTAGATCTTTTCACCTCCAAAGTCACTTTTCTCTGAGGCCAGCTTCCTATCCTAAAAGAACGCACATTCCCTCACACTCTGATAGCGTCAGGAATCCTGGAGAGTCAACTCCATCTGTTGACCACTAAAATTCCCTTCTAAGACAAAATTCGAAGTCTTTACTCTCCCTCTCTTCTTCAAATCCTTTAAGCCTGCTAAATGAAACCATGAGCCAAAGACACTAAGTCACATCTGGTGGTGGGATGCTTTCCTTCTTCGAGGACCTTTGGTACAGGAGGCCAAAACACGGCAGAATAGAAAGGCAGTAAAGTCAGTTACTGCACTGAACGGGAAGGAATCAGACTTTCCCAAAGTTAAAACAGATTCATTTCGTTTCTCCTCCCACTACCTCCTCCTCAACCTAGAAAAGAGGAGTGAGACTCTAAGGGACTTATGACAGGGGCGATCAGGATGCAAGTGCTTGAAGGCCAGGCAGCTAGCCAGACACTCTTCCAACACTCCACAGGACCCTCCCATCAAGCTCCAGTACTGGGGAGACACAGTTGGGAGTAGGTGGGGGTGACCTGAGAGGCAGTGTCAGACGTCCCCTTGCTAACATTAAGGAACACTGCCAGTAGGTTCTCGCTTATGTGGGAAAATTGAAACACCGGAATAAGGGCGCTGGAAATTCTATAAGCTTTTTCCCATTAGTCACAAAAAACGCAGCTGTGAAAATAAATACATCCCCCACCCCCAAAAAATACCCCAAGGGTCTCGGGCCACCAACAGTCCTCCTGGCCTCGGTATCCCAGGCTCCTGAGGGAGCAGGGCAGCCCAGAGGGGACCCGGAGCTAGGGTGGGGGCCTCACTGTTGCCACTCACCCGGGGAAGGGAAAAGCTCCAGATCCACTTTTTCTGTCTTGATGATGGTGAGAGTTGGCTTGAGATCGACGGCCGCCTTCATGGTGCCCGGAGTTGAGGGGGGCGGCGGGATGAGAGCAAGTTTGCTGTTAACTGTTGTTTTGCTTTTTTTAATGGGGATTTTGAACCCGGGCGGGGGAAGGGGACAGAGCGCAGCCCTAAAATCTCAAATTCCCTCTGACCGCCCCGCGGGATGGTGCGCGCCCAGCCAGTCCGCGTGAAGTTGGCACTTGGCGGAGCAGAGAGCGCGCTTGGGTCCCAGCCTCGCCCGCGCCTCGCCCGTTCGCTCCTCCGTCCGAGGCGCTCGTTCGCTTGCTCGCTCGCTCGGCTGGCCGGCGCTGGCGCAGTGCAGCTCGCCTCCGCTTTAGGGCGTTCCTCACCGATCCCAGTCCCAGGGTCTCAGAGCCTGCCCTGCCCACTCGGCGGGGCGGCGGGGGCGGGGCGGAGGGGCGGGGCTTAGTACCTGCAGCCAATCTTCGCCCGCCTCCCAAAAGCGAAAGGAAGGGCGGGCGAGCCTTGCCCGGCGGCGCAGCTCCAGCTACTCCGCGCGTGCGGGGCGAGGGCCTCAGCCTACCGCTGGTGAGAATGGCTGGCTAGCTGGCTGCTGGCGTGCAGGGGCTGCTGCCACAGTCTCGGGAAAGTCCGTCTGATTCTGCACGCATTCTTGAAGGCTTGGTCACCCGCTGCGGCCCCGCTCCAGTAGCAGGCATAGTTTTCCAAGTGCGTGTACATCATTCATTCACAAAGCTTGACACACAGGACGTGAGGCGTGGGTGCGCAACGAGGGGCGCGTGCGGGGGATTCCACAGCAGGGGTCCTGCGAGGGTTCCAGCCTATGACTCAGAATCCCACCCGTGGGCAAGGCAAGGCCAGCATTGGTAACCAGAAACCTCAATCAGCTTCACTAGCTCAGAACCAAGCCTATTGAAGATCCTTAAAACTCAAGTTTCAAAGCTCCTGGATTAATTAGCCAGGGAGTACAGAACCTGTAACTGAGATTCTAACTATTCTGTTCCTCTAATTGTTTCACCATTTGGCAGACGCTTTGTCAGACGCTGCTCTATTAGAAAAATAAATAATAAATAAATAAAGCATCATTTCCTACATCACATCCAACAGCATTCTGGTATGAATCTCTGGGGTTCATCACAGTGCATGTCCTTGTCATATTTGGGAACTTCCAACACGCCAGATAACAAAATGAGTGAAGATAATCTATAATTTGCCACCGATAGTTAGCTACTATACATCGAGATAGTTGGTATATATTAACAAATCATCCAGAACATGGCAGTATATGTGTAGCTGGAGCAAGACACTGACATCTACCTCTTTGAGTAAAAGACAACATAATAAATCTTCCCGAGCAACCTCAGGAAAAGCTATTCTTAGTACTGTTTCCTGATTTCTAAGCATGTGTTGAACTGCTACCACTTGCCTGCAACTGTAACTTCTGCTCCAGTAAACTTATTCACACCTGCTAACTTTTATCGCAGCATGTTTAACCCCTTTGAGCTGTAGCAGTGTACAGGATTCCCAAAGCAAATCGGACTGGTAGGGTGGGGGGCAGCACTAGAGTGTCAATCTCTGTGTCTTGGTCAAATCTCCAGTCTCCACCCTTCTTGGGTGATCAGAGGAAAATATGTGTATGTGATAATCCTCATTTTTTTTTTGAAAGAACAAAGACTGTTGCAGTCCAGCTGTGTTTCTGCAAGGTATGAGAAAACAATGCTGGCCTCCAAATGACGAGAACAGACGCTTCAGAGTCTGGGAAAAGCTCAGGGAACCAGCTGATGAATGAATTGTACGTTCGCACGCTCAAATCAGCAGCAAGGCAAAGACTCTTGGACTGGTCCCTCCTTATTATGACGTCTGTAGAACTGGACAAACTAAGGGTTCCTTTGGGGAATTTTCATTTTGATGGTGCAGTCTTATGAAAATGCTGGAGAGTTTTCACTTTATTTGCAAAAGCGGTTTCCTCAGAATCCCTCCTTCCTCACGCCCTCCCCAGGGCCTCTTCCTCCAGTAAACTAGTGTTTAGTTGACATGCAGGCATGTACAACTACACGAAAGGAGGCCTCCCACAATCCACCTGGGATCATTTTCTACCCTAGCAACAGTGAGTGAACACGTTCCTTGTGATGCTTCCACAATGACCATCAGTTCATTGGTCTTTCTGTTCCTAACCATGTCCTGATGTCTAAAAGCTCGAAATACCCTCATGTCCACATAAAAAGGTGTGATTGGGACACATTCTGATATCGAATGTTCGAAAACATCTGAAGTCCCATGCATACAGCGGGATCTGGTTGAAACTTCTGTAGTGTGAGAAGCACTGAGAGAGATCCAGTTAAGATATTTATACACTTTGATATTGATTGATACACCAATCATCCAATCAGGACTGTCGATCACTTAATGTTCGACAAATGGAATTTGCATTCTCTTTATATAGTACAAGTAGATTTCCCCAAACATTCTTGCGGAGTTTAAAAACCATTACTACATTTTACCTATCCAAACAAAAATAAAATAATAATAAAAGATAAAATCATATGCTTTGCCCCAAGCCTAGGACATTACAGACATTCAATAAAGGTTTCTTGAGTGAGGCGCTATGAGCTTACTGGTTGCTCTGGGCTTCTACTAATACACTGCCTGCAATGAACATGGCCTAAGAGGTGTCAGAAACTCTGCAGTGAGAGCTGTCCTTTGCTCCTTACGGTAAAATAGAACACCTCTCCTCACCACTTACTTTCATATGTGGCTCACCCTACCTACCAGCCAAAAAGTTTTGCCTTCCATATACCTGAGCACACTATTTCAAGACTGACGGTCAAGACTTGGTGGTGGGTTCGGGGAGGGAGAGTTTGCTTTCTACTGGGAGAAAACAGATCTGTATCTTTAAAAGTCCCTTAGGCTCTAGCTAATTACATCTGATCAAGGGTTGGGAGACCTTGCAGAATATGGATCTTGAGTCCCAAAAGGCATGAATGGCATCAAGACAAGAGTCACCTTCATACAGGGATTTCCTCACCACCAGGCACACATTACAAAAAACAATAATCTCCCTTTGTTCTTCCCTCCATCCTGTTCCAAACTCATTAAGTATATAAAAAATACGCTTAATTTCAAAGAATCGTGAAAGACATAAACTTCCACTCCAGAAATGTGCTAGAATTCTCTGCATTTCAAACCTTTAAAAATATGCCTCATGAATGGTAGGCACAAAAAAACATTCAGGTCCCTAACGATTGATGCCAAGCAAGCTCGTGACTCACAGATGTTGACTTACTGGTATAAATGTAAGATAAAAAAAAAAAATCTCAAGCTCTCAGTTAACAACCTGTTTAAGCTGCACTTGTGGTCCCCTTTCAGTCTGAGAAAAAAACAAACCTACAGTCCCTATCATACTCTGAAAAACACACACACACACACACTTCAAAAACTGAACTCTCTACCAAGAAGTTTCTATCTGCTAAGTTTGGTGCAAAACACAGGGGTAAGAAAAATACCCAGGACCTCAATATCTACCATCACCAAGCAGCAGTAAAATAGAAAAGCTGAGATGAGGGGGTGGAATTAAAATAACTATTAATTAAACTATAATTCCAAAAGGCCTTAGGGTCAGTTTGGGAGCTGTTCCGGAGACTCAGAAGGTGGTGTTGATGACTGAAGGCAGGCTCTGTGACCTCACCAAAGCCATTTAACCTTTTGGGTGTCACAACCTCATCTCTGCTTCAGGGAATAAACCACCCCCTGGATCTTCCTAGCTTGTAATACAGACTCATTAGCTATTGTTCCAGGCGAACAATACACAATGGGCCATAAGAGAGCTGTAGTTGGGGAGAAAGAGAGGAGGGAGGGGAGGACTTGAGGGCCTATTTGGCCCAGAAAACTCTGTAATGACAGAGATAATGAGGAGTATGGGTTCAGAAGTAAGAATTGTTCTTTTTAACTTAACCAACGTAATCTGTTAAATTTTGACTGTTAAATCACTTAATGCTGAAACTCAGGTCCCCCATGTTTGAAGCAGGGAAAATAAAAGCACCCATGTTTTAAGATTATCGGCATGATTAAATGAGGCAATGCATGCAAAGTGTTAGCAGAATGTCTAGGGTAGGAACGTGTTCAGTTAACGGCAAAGGATTATTATTGTCTTTAGTATTCAGAATCTGAGAGAATATTTGAGAGATCACTTTAAGGCTTTCTCTCTGGACATTTCTGTGGAGTAGATTAGATCCTCAGTTAACTGAATTGTCACCTGGGAGAATTCAGACAACTATAATGTTGAATTTTAAAACCCAGCACCCCTCCATGGATCTTGAGTAGAGAACTACCCAGCGGTAGCCTTGACTGAGAAATTCCAGCACTGACTGAGGAAGAAAACCAGTGTAGTTGTATTTGCCCTGAAAGTGAGAGAAAGGGTATTGTTCTAGATCATACTGGAAGCAAAACCTCAGACCCTCACCTTTACATGGTTCAGTGAGATGGAAGTCTGTTAGTGACTTCATCTACAGACCTCCTAGTCACCAGAGGAGAAAACTGAGTTTATCCTTCCCACACAAAGCCACCTGCATTTGACCAGGTAGGTGACCAGGCAGCTTCGAGAAACCCAGCAAGATTCTGTGCCGTCATGGACATGTACACTGTAGACTAACCACCCTCATTCCCTGTGGGAGACAGCTTGGCATGGGCTATAAGGAGAAAGGGGGTCTGGCTTGGCTCCATTGCTGTCTGCAGTTTCTTAGGCTATAATTACGAGCCATTCAACTGCATCTGCAGCCCCAACAATGTGGGATGGATCGGCCTAATCCACAGACCAGGCGACATTTTCAAACCCATCAGTTTAGACATCACGTATTCTTCTCACAGCAAATCAGACTTGGCACAGACAGAAAAAGAAGAAGAAGAGCTGCCAATCAAAACCGCAGTGCTTGGGAGCCTTCTTCACACCCAGGGTCAGCTCGTTTCCTTAATCTCACTGAACATCTTTTGGGGCTGTCATTGTTTTCTGGGCCAAGAGAATGTAGAACATAGACTGCCCTGTAAGCCTGTGGGGCTCTTATCGTTTGGAACTCAATTTAAGTTCTTCTACGCTGGGTGCATGGATGGAGGAATGAATGTATTGGCACAGATGACAGGAGAACTGTGTTCTCAAACAAAGCAAAAGCTCCTAACAACAGGCTTTTACCCCATGGCAACAGGATTCCATTCTAGCCCCCAGGGCTCCAGGTGGTTTCATCCAGGCAGATCTTACCCCTGATCTTACCCAGGTTTTCTTTTAGGTTAA